TGAGGGGAGACTCGATGATCACCAAAGGTATTGAGAAGAGCGGAAAACCCATCACACGCTATCCTGACGCGGGGTTTAGATTGGAGCTTAGGCGCCCACTGTTGGAGCAACCAGTCAACAACCATGATGCCTGCAAGCAAGCCGATCAGTTCACTCCGATAGGCGCTTTGATCCTGGGGCAATCCGGGAGTCTGGCACCAAACAATGACGCGGTCCTTCTCCCCTTGTCGTGGGAGTAGTTGGACGGCTGCCGTTCCCAGGGCTCGCTTGTATGATCCGTCGCTTATCACGCAAAGATGACCAGAGAGTAAGGCCTCCACCAGCCGTCCTTCATCACCGACGATCTCAAGTTCCTCGGGGGTCCATCCAAAGTACTTGTCAACTTCTGCTGATGCTGCTTCCCATGTAGTGAATAATGACGGTTGGGGAACTGGTCGCGGAGACTGATGCTCCCGACCCACCCCCAAAATCACAAACTCCTCTAACCCATGCAGTGGCTGAGTTGTCACTCGGCATACATCATCTGGGAGTGGCTTGGTCCAAAAGAGAACCGACGGCAAGAGGGCTTCGGCGGCTGCCATTGGTTTTTTAATCCCAGACGTCCTGTGAGATGTCGGCCTCATGTGGAACCTCCGGCTAGAGGAGTAGGAACCTGATCGGTGACCGTAGTGTCTCCAAGCGTGTCCATGACGATGAAAGACGCCATGCGTTGGGGAGACCAGCCAGTTCCAGTCGTCGATAGGGTCAAACCAAGGGCCCAACGGTTGGCGGAGCTGATGAGAGGGGTCATCCGACTGCAGAAGTGCCCGGGTCAAGGTGTCCTGCCATAGACGCCAGTGATTCCGGTTTGGTCGAACTGTCCGCGGCGATTGATATGGAGACTGGTGGATGCCATCACGCTCTCCGCACCAAGCCTACTGGCGGATACAGCGTCCATCAGCCGTGACAATATCGGAAACGGTGCACACTTGAAGGAACATATGACACCAATTGAGCCATTTCAGATTGTCTTGGTCCACTCCAAATCCATAAACACTTCCACCAGCAGAGCGTCACCAACGCAGCGTAGTGGTAAGGCCGGAGAATCAAAGGCCACATAGATGTCCATGTTCTCCAGTTCTGTCCAGACTCGATTTATCCATGTATCGATAGCCAAGACGGCCGTGTTGCCATAATCCTGCTGAAAGATCCCAAACGAAGTGCCCGTTTCAAGCTGGTGTTCTTGCAACGCGGCTTCCAGGTAAGCTCCGGTTTTTGTCCTGTTGTTTGAATGACGGAGGAGAGTCTCGATATGCTTGGAAACCTGTGAGCCGAACGGATGTGGGATGCCCAGGCCTTGGAACTTCAATGGAGCCAACACCATATCACGTGGAAAACTTCTGCAGATGCCGGCTTTCGGCAGGCAGACCTGTAGAACCGGGCTCATAATATCCACCCATGTTGCGGCCTCCAGTGTCAATAGCGTCATTGGATATTCCAGTGACTTCAGAACCGTGGACCTGATCAAAGGAATCACATCGTATTTGTGAAGGTGACCAGATCGAACTTGTTCAGCCCACCGTTTGGCAATACCCTTCAGATGTGAAACATGCGCCTTCTGGTCCTCGAGTGGCGCAAGCATTACTCCCAATGTCTTCTCTGCCTCCCCCGGCTCAAGGCGACTGAGAGTTTCCAATTTGCCGGACAAGCCCGGAATTTGAAGCCGGTGGTCCGGCAACAACTGATTCTTCTTCCTGAATGTCCATTGTTCCTTCCTGCCATCCCACGCGAAGTTGATCAACCACCAAAAGGACTTGTCCGGGTTGATTGCTCCACCGGTAGCGCTAATTCCTCCAGCCCACACGGACGCAGCCGCCTGGATCGATGGGCAGATGTTCTCCAAAGGTGAGGTCACATTTGTCTTTGGTTTTTCTCCATAAATGCGCTCGTAGTTGTCTACCATGCGCTCGATGTACTTCTTGGGGCTCATGTAAAGAACGCCATGTTCATCCCTTCCAAAATCACATCTCAGGTGGAAAGTGAGTGGTCCGGTACCTTTAAGCTTGAATTTGTAGACATTAATCAGTTTATCCACAAAAGCTTTCGGGTCTTTCATTACCATGGCCAGATCATCAACATATACGCCAACATATTCATATGACGACCCGTCCGGTAACGGTCTCATCCAGATGTCCGGTTCTGCCTTGCAAGGAAAGAACCCTTCCTCTCTCAAACAGGCAGAAAATCTTTCATCATGGTTTAACTTTTGTAGTAACGGCAGTTTAAGATAGTTATAGCGTTCTAGTCATTGAAATCTGAAGCAAGAACATACAGTTGCAACTCCTTGCAGACTACAGTAGATTAATCGCAAATTGAAACTACTAAAAAAGGCTATAGCTACTGAAGCCGCGTTCACTGTGCTGCTGATTGGGACTGCAAAGGATTACACCACTACTGGTAGTATCCTCTCCAAAGGGAATCATAATCGCCGAGCAGGTCCATAAATTATCTATTCCAATAGCTTTGTGAAACTTTGCAGGCCTTCTTCTTCGAAACAATGCGGGCTCTTATTCGGTTTTGCTTTTTCGCTTTTTCCTTTTGAGATCCACTTGATAATATACGCTACACAACGGTCTGCTCAATCTACCAGAGACTCGGTACAGCCTTCTTCCTCGAAGATCATGAATCGCCATCCATTCTGTGTGTCCAGCATCCTCGCATTTTGCTGCTGTACTCGTGTCTCCAGGATATTGGATTTCAACATGCCTATGCTCTATCAAGATCTCATTTGGCGCAGTGTCGAGCTACCTGTGAGTTTGTTGTAGCGTGTCTTGTTTGTTGTAGCGTGTCCTATACATCCCCTCATCAGTTCTATCATCGTCAGCCAGTCGCCTTCTTTTGATGTCTTCATTGTCAACTGTTCTATATCTGTGTCATGTTCAGTTTCTAATGACTGATTCGAATTTTCCTGTTTCTCTGCAGCTGTTGTATAGTCTGCTAACATCTCTCCAACACCATTTCTTTGCCACAGCTGATACTCAGTTTTCGAAACCACTGTGAGCGTTTGGACTCTGTCCAAGAATATGTCCAATTATGATTGGATGGTCAAATTGACCATCCAATCATAATGCATGACATTTTTCCGTGTATATCATTGGATGGTCAATTTGACCATCCAATCATATCGTCTGACTTTGTTTAATTTATGATTGGATGGTCAATTTGACCATCCAATCATATGTTTGACATTTTCCATGTATATCATTGGATGGTCAATTCGGCACAAGTCAGCAGGGAGTGGTTGGTTCCAAAAGGGGGCTGGCAAGAAGCTGACGCCGTTGTCGGTATACTCGTTATGTGGTGATCTTGCTTGGATTTCATATGTGGGAACACCGGAACTTGGTGCAACATTCGGAGGACAACGTACAGCTACGCGAACGTAGCCGAGTGGTGAACGACGGTATGGGCCCAACCGACCTCCCCAAGGT